TGAGGAAAGTCAAATGTATAAGCAAAAGAAAGGTATGAATTCCCAAGAGGACCTTTCTAAAAGGCTCCATCTTTTGCTATGAAGTCAGTGGGAGTGTTAGACAGGATAGGATTGCAGGACGAGGCTCCAAATAGTTTAGTCTTAACATTTGGGGGTATCTCTCATTCTAGTGTGCGTCTCTGAATGGCATACAACACAACATGGTTGAATCCAGTTTAATATTCTCCCTCCTACCTCCTAGACACACCCACCCACCAAAATCATGCCTTACAGAATCGACATATGTATCCAAAAAGTAAATCACAAATACCGATCATATACCATTTTGTAGATACTGCTCAAGTTGAGACCTCCTCTCATCCGCCATAGACTTGGTCATTGCTAGGTAAAACTTTGGAGGGAAAGTAGGCACACTGCTTCCAAAGATGCGCCGTAACTACAATGAGAGTTAAAATAAAGTGTAAAGTTAGTGAAGACCAGCTCATGCTTCTGAAGACCTAATAGTACTGTCATATTGTAGCAGAGTGCACCCAGTCTAAGGAAAGAATGGAAAATATCCATTCACTATAGCTGGAAGGTTAGAGGCATTTCGCTCACAACCCAGTCAATGAGAAACAATGCAAGTCAATCACAAGTTTCCCTTCAAAAGCACTCAGAGGGTTCCACTGACAGCAAACATTGAGCATGCCGCCTTTTTTCATTTTACTTTTACACAACGTCAGATCAGTAGCTCTGAAATGTTTCAGTTCCATCAGGAAGATCACACTGTGTCTAACTCGGTGTGTTTGGCTAAGAATAGACATTACACATAAACTGGTTTAAGTGATCAGAAACTGGTTTAAACCTGTAACAGAACAGATGTTCAGTGCACATAAACCAGTTTGAAAATGGCTGAAAACAGTTTGATATAAACCTGGCTGAATGTAGCATCAGGCTTAACTGATTTGGCTCAAACCAGTTTATAAAACGTCTGTCCCGGACCCCTTCCTAGTTTAAGTTAAACCAGAGTCCCCCAGCATCCCAAATGTTTTGCAACCCTGGGCCAGGCTCTCTGCTCCGGAGAGCCGGGCTGGCCCCATCCATCTGCTCCCTGGCTGGAGCTCAGCAGAGGCGGCAGGGACAGCAGTGTCTGCCTGGCTTCCCTGTGCCCCCTCCCCCACCACTCCCTGCTCAAGCAGGGATTCCCCCCCTCCCCTCTCCCACAGCACAGACCGTAGCCAACATGTGGTATGCTAGTTAATGCTGAGAGGTCTGTGTAAGGCAGATAGGACAAAGGCAGACAAGACAGTGTCCACTTAGGGTTTTTGGAGCTAATCAACAGGTCAGCTGGTTTTTCTGTTCCTTCCTTGGAAAAAGTTGTTTCCAGGAGCAGTGAGGCTGGCGAGGACCCCTTCCTAATCCGAGCATCCTGCCAGGGTCGGGCTATGCCCCTCAACTCATCTCAGCACTGTGGAAGGGAAGAAAGGGCTACTTTAGCGCCCCCCGGATTCTAGCCTGAGCCACTGCAGGCATGTGCCCGTGTTTTTTCAGTCCAGAGGGGATGTCTATACGGTTACAAACCAGTTCAGCCTAGCCAGGTTAGACTAACCTGCAAAGATTGAATCAATTCAGGCTCAGGCTTTTTGAATATCTGTCCCTAGCCTTTATGTACTACAGCTTGGATTCTTCATAAGATTGGATTCCTAGCCCTCCCGCTCCACTGTGAAGATGAGGGCTTGCAAACTAGCCAGAGGTATACAAAACCTCAAACAGTCAGGCAGGACCACAGAGGAATTTCAGCTGCTTCTGGGACTTTTGCTTCAAAGGGCACCAATAAGCTGTGCTAGACCATGGCTGTGCCTTAGCCAATCAAAGAAACAGCACCCTTTGAAGTAATAGCACCCTTTGCAGCAATTGGCTGAACAGCTTTTATCAACCTGCTCTGAAACAAGCAGGTTGTGAGCCAACCATATACAAGTAGTCCGGGTCCAGCTGTACATTTTACAGACAAGTGACATAAACCTACCAACCACACACACACTTTTATTGATTTGCAATACTGCAGGTATAGATCAAATAAATCCTCAGTATTAGAAAATACTGATTTATACTTTTTTTTTCCCCACAAACTCAAAGAAAAGGATCCAAATGATATGTCAATCCTCAGAGGCCTTCCTGATACCACTAGTTATCATTCACACACTCTGGAAGAGACTGAAGTGTTTCTTGGAGGCGCTTTTCCCTTCCTAGAGGCTGTTGTTGCATCTTACAGACAACTACTCTGGCTAACAGCAGACAATACGTTTTCCTCCAAGGAGGTTGTTTCTTTAGTATTTTCACTCCAAGCTACAATGAGCTCAGCAGGATGTTCAGCTTTTTTTAATAAAACCTGTGCTAATCTAATGTGCTGCATTACAAAATACTTTGTTCAGGCAGTTACTTCTGACTAGTTGCATGTTCATCCCCCTTAAAATGATCTTCCCTGGAGTGTAGCTAGCAAGTAGAGAAGAAAAATGATAGAAAAACGGAAGAAATATGATTTCCTTAATTTAGTTGAATTAAAACACTACATTTTTAACCTGGCATTTGGACAATGCAATGAGAGTCTTCCAGCACACAGGAGGAAGGTATACCAAACTAGAAAAAGAAAATAAGTAAACAAATATCTGTTTTCAAGCTACAGTGAATGCAATTACTGTTGCCAGGCACTGCAATAGCTGGCATTTTTCTTCAAGGGCCAGCTCCTGGAGCCAAGTGAAAGATAAACTTTTTTTTAAATAAAGGAAGAAAGTTAAGAGTCATTTCTAACCATTGCAGTTGCCCAGAAACACTGGAAAACAGGACTTGAATGAACCCTACAGCATCAAAACCAGATGACAAAATAAAAGGAAGAAAAAATATTATTCTGAAAAAAATCTCATGATTTTTGAATCCTTGGAACAGCAGCACTGATACTGATGAAACCCAATACTATTGCTTTCAACTCTGCCCTGCTCAGAGCATGGCCACATGTTCCCTAATACTGGAAGTCTTCCTGTTTTCACAGCCTCTCCCAATCCTTTTTTTATTATAAAATCAATCATTTTACCTCAATATTTTTTTTTAAATAATTTGTGTGTGTTATAAGCTAAATCAAGTCCAAATCCGTGAGTCAGTCCACAACCATAAGTGACCCTACAACTGGCAAACATCCTCCACCCCAACCTGCGGCTTCAAATATTTTCAAAGTCTTTTGGTGGGCATCCTACGTGCAGGCCCAAGCCCGAAGGCTTGGGGTTCGGAGGCCCCCAAGTTTTGCCTGCCCTCAGCCATATGGCTGCAGGAGCAAGCTAGGGACGAGCCTCCCATTTCCATAAAGTGGGCTATAAGCCCCAACACCTCAGCAGGTACTAAACCACACCAGAAGAACAGTTATCCCCAGGAACGCTTAAGGAAAACTGCCTTCATGGACCAGACACATGGTGTTTCCCCTGCCAGGTGTAAGTCATCCAGAGGCTACTAGAAAGCAGGCAGGTAATAATGACAGCGAACTACCTGCAAGCACATGTACCGAGACCCACCCATTTGTTATAGCAAGGACCTCTGGAATAAACAACAACATAGGGTAAATTTCCTCTTGAAGTTAAACATTTTAGGTGAACAGAGATCACAAAGCATTCTCTCTGTTTGATAGATCAGGACACAGAGGCAGAAATATCACCTCTGGTTTTACCAGGGATGGAATCAGACTCAGAACTAGAACCAGGAATTCCTGCCTTCTCTGTGTGCCTTCATACCACGCTGGTTCACTCATGCAAAGCAGCAGCACCCATTATCCCTGGTTGGCACAAATGGAAAAAACAAAGACTGCTCAGGAAAAGTTTAAACAAAGGAGAATATTTACTCACCTCAGAGATGAATGCTTGAGAACTTTTAGCTTTCAAAGTTAAGCTCCATGTGTCTTACAGCTTTCAGGACTAAGAGAGAAATGTAGCTGAACAACCACACAAACGTTCCACAACCAGGTTATAGGCACATAAAGAAGTGCAGTGTGACAGGGTGGCCTGTCTGCCTGCAAGCACTAATCCAACACAGCTAAAAAACTGGTTGCTTCCAATACACTTAAATCCCAAAGACGGGGCCAATTTTAAATGCAAACAATCAGTACCTGGCAGAGCGGTGTTCTAGGAACCGCAGGCTGTGGGCCTGTCTCTCCAGCTCTGGCAGAACAGGTACCACCCCCAAAGGCTGATTCAGGCCATCTTTCTGAAGGCCTCAGCTTCACACAAAAATGGCTTCAAACATAAGCCATTTCAGCCATGGCTACTGTGCGTCATAAAGGTAAAAGTTTAGGGCAAATGAAACATTTGAGATATAATATCTAATCTGGAAGCAGTGGTCAGAACAGCATCCCTGGGAGGAATCAGGAAGGTGTCATGAGCTTTCCATAAAAGAGGAATGGGGAAGGTGTTAGGGGATTGATGAAAAGTATAAAAAGGCCTATAATTTTACATTTGATTGGAAGTACTTCAATCTATTTTTGTTATGGACAGCTATGCACAAATATTTTCATCTACAAGTGACATAAGTTTAAGTCAGTCTGCTTCACAGCTGGCTAAACAATGTTGAAAAACAAGTTTATTTCAAAATTTAATTCCTTCATACCCAATTACTTTTGTGATTCATTGATTTCTAAATTTATTTTTATACCAGCTGTTTATAAAAGACCCATATGTTCCACAGCTGATTCCGTAAAGATTAGTGCTGCAATTAAAATCAGTCGACATCACATTTCTGTTGTTACTATTTTACAAGTCTGCCTTTGTTTACTTAATGACTGAAAATAAATACAATCATTAACATTCGATACTACAAGGAGGGCATTTTCCCTGGTTTTACAACTTCATTCAAGTTTGATGTAGGTGAAGAATCTCCCCCATCCTGCCCCCCAAGTCAAAGAAGCCAACTGACACCAGTTTTTCAAAGCTGGAAAACAGGAAGAATTTATCCAAAACCTCCTTGCCAAGATATAAATGTTGTGTTATAATGAAACCCATCAACTGTCTCAATTCAGGAGCAATCTTTCTGAATGACTTGCACTAAATCCTTTTCCAAGAAGGACAGTTTAGTTTCAGTCGCTTCTGATCTTCCACAAAAGTAGTAATTTTTCTTATACCTCAGACAAAAGGCACAGCTATACTAGTGGGTGCTTACTACCAATCTATAAGCTTTTCGGGTTACAATCTAACAGCTAGATCCCAAAACAGTTGGAAACTTGAGTCCCATTGTCCTGTCCATGGACATGCTTAAAACTAAACAGCGGATCCTCAAAACATACCTGCACTGTTAAATGTTAACCCTTCAGAGACTCCCTCTGACATTTTCCCCCCTGCTCTCTTCCCCCTCCCTTCCCTGCTTTTCCTTTTGTTTTGCTTATCTCTACCCATTTACATTTGCACTGACATCTTACCACACTTCAAGCTTCTCTCCTTCCTTGGAGTCTCAGACCAGCAGAGGCTCCCTATGCCTGAGAAAGGGTGACTGTGCCCAAAAGCTTGCCTAGTAGAGGGGGCACTCACTTGGAGAAGGGGAGACTTGGGATCCCACACCAGCTCCCTTGAATATTTAATTTTTACATATTCAGATGGGAGGGACTTGAATTGGGTGGGAGTGCCCAAACCACTAAGCTTAGCAGATAAAGGGGGCAATGCTATCAGCACTGTCTTCTCTCTCTACGCTTTTGAGAGAGAGGGTTGATGTAACAACTAATTCCAAGAGAAGGTTCAGGATTATAGAGATGGGTACCTTACTTTAGACTGCAGGGAGGCATCTGTTTTCCCAAGAGTCTCAAGACACACCAGTCTCCTCATTATTTCCCATCGGCCAACTTGTGCAGATCCCTGCTGCACGCTGACTTTTGAGGATACTACTTTTAAATGCCGAAGTTGGCTCAATTCAATATCTTCCATGTTACAGGGTAGAGACATGTTGGTCTAAGGACACAGACAGACAAGGTTCTTTAAGTAAAACTGATATCTTTTATTAGGCCAACTCAAATAGTTAAAAAAATTCTTCTTTGCAAGCTTTTAGGTATAAATATCCTGCATCAGGCTGAGGAAGCATCTGCAGCTGGCGTATGCTCTATCTGGATGGAATGAATAGTAAAGAAGCCAGAGGCTGGTATGCATGCAAGAAATTTTCCAACTATTTGAGTTGGTCTAATAATAATTTAAAATAAATAAATAAATAAATAAATAAATCACATTTACCCAAAGAACCTTATCTGCCTACGTCGGCTCAGGCATTGGATAGGAAGCCTAGGTCCTTCACTCAGCACCGTGGATACCACTGGGTGGTGACATGCCTAAAATATTAGGAGTTGCAACAGACTGAGTGCTGCTGTAGCCAAGTCTTTCTGTGACTTTTCCCACCTCACAATATCTATAGCACCCAATCAGATCATTGTTTTACATAAAAACCCTCACTAATTTCCATACAACATCTTCTCTTTGGAAAGCTTCTGCTAATCTTCTGCAGAGAAATATAGGAAACACTTGGAAGAACAGAATATACCAATTCTTAGAGAAAAAGGAAGGAAGTATAAAACTGGTAAGTACATTACTTGAAGTGATAAGAAAATGCATTGTAGAAATAAAGGAAGTGAGGAACAGTGCCAGACAAACATGAAATAGACTGTGAGATGAGATCTGAACAAAGGAGCTGCTACACATGGGGAAACAAAACCTTGAGACTGCCACACTGGAGTAGGTCATTGGTCCATAGATTCACAGATGCTAGGGTCGGAAGGGACCTCAACAGATCGTTGAGTCCGACCCCCTGCATAGGCAGGAAAGAGCGCTGGGGTCAGATGACCCCAGCCAGATGCCTATCCAGCCTTCTCTTAAAGACTC